ACAGAAGGTGAGTGAAATGAGGATAGGAGAATTCAGGCTTACCCCAGACTTGCACTCAGCTGGAGAGAGCACACTGGTGACATCTAGAAGCTTGGAATCAACACTTAGACGGAATCAGCCTTATTGACTTTAATATATCTCAATTAGATCGAGTCCAATATTGAAGCCTGTAGTTATTGCAGTAATGTGATATCCTTCTTGTGTTAAGAGCTCCCCAAGCACAGCTTACAGAGCTTATTTCTGAGGTGAGCAGGTTCTTCAGGTTAGAGCATCAGTTTTCCATTCCCCTGAGATCAGTGGCATACCAGGCACAACTGTGTAATCACAGCACAAAAAACCTCTACCTCTCACAAGAAACACGCCAAGCATTAATTTCTTCAGCACTGGTTTTGCGGGAGTCTCAACATTTACATCACGTCTCCCCCTTCCTAGCACTTTTATTTGCTAAATAGCTGAATCTGTACTTCCAACAGTAAATTTGGCTGAGATCAGTAGATCTGGCTCCTTGAATCCAGAGCAACCAAATTATCTAGCAGTAGCATTTTCCATACAGGTGCACTTTCTTTTCTACTTATCTTTCATTAGCTGTTCTCTGTTTGGTCTGTGCTAGGAGAAAGAGCATGGTACACACATTGTGTGATTGAGCTTTCTCCTTTACTTGGTGTGCCCTTTGCAATGAAAATCATCCCCAGAAGGGGATAAACCCGTAGGTAATGGGTCGTCCTGTGGCAGGGACAACTGCCCAGCTTAATTTTCACTAGCTCTGACATAAGCCCAAGTAGTGCCTTCACAAAACCCCAAACTCTTCAATCGCTGTTACCCGAGGAGGTGAAGAGCAGCCAGATGGGCCCCTTTGCTAAAAGGATGTTTGCTGTTGAGTGGCTGGGATGAAGGACACAAGGAAGGGCTTGCTGTACTGAGGAATATGATGTCCCATGCCAAATGAAAAAGCTGGGTCTGGACTCAGTGAAGTGAAGGGGTTTTACCAAGACAGTTTCAAGAACAGATGTTTCTTTAATGTCCTGACATTCAAAACTGGTTTTGAAGTCTGCTCATTCTTATCTAATTTGCTTTGGTGTTCTAATTTTCAAGTTTTCTCCTCTGAGAAACAGCCTATTAGACGTTTTAAGATCATACTGATAAATGCCAATTTTGTTTTCCTGTGATTATCATCAGCTACATTCTCCAGTTGCTTTTCCTACATGAAAAGAAGGAAGATAACAGAGGTCAAAGTCTACTTATCTGAGGGGGCTGAGAGAGATTGGTAGGCCCTGCCTCTCTATTGTAACCTTTACATTGTGTCAGGACAATAATTCTCATGAATTTAGTGATTTGTCTAGAATTATAGTTAATTATATTGCTAAAATATACTAATCACTCCAGTTCGTAGGGTAACAATTCAATAAAATTAATTTGCATCTTAAATTTTTCATCCTACAATGCTAACACATTTAAAAACATGATTTAATTTCTAATATTTTAAATAAAAGTTCTCAGGAGCATTAAGCCATTCTGTTAGTTCAGCTGTTTGTGCTGCAGCCCCTCACACTGTTCAATAGTGGAACTGTGAGCACTTCAAGGGGAACTCAGCTGCATCACTGGCTCAAGAAAAGCCTGAGGCAGCATAAAGAAGTCTCTCAAGTGTCTCTCCCTGAGGCTGCCTGTGGTTTACACTCACTACCTCTAAAAGTTTGATTGGAAATCATCTTCATTGAAAGAGAGAACGCCAAACAGCAGTGTGTGGGGTGGATGCAATAACCTTTGTTCCCTGAGCAGGAAGCAGAGGTGGGGATGGCCCAGGGCCATTCCCGGGTGGCACCGAGGCCGCTCATTCCCTGGCACCACACGGCACCGCAGCTTCCTGACGCCATTTAAACGGCGTCTTTTGCTTCCTCAGTTGGTCTTTTCCAGGGTGCTGGCACCCTCTCACCTTCATGTGTGGTGACCTGAAGAAGCTGGTAATTTTCCAAAGGCAGGGAATGGCTGGAGTGGGCAGGCTACAGCTCAGGAGAGGGAAGCAGCTGCAGAAGCTGGGAGTGAATGGGCCGGGTCACACACAACCTAATTCCTCAGGCCAGTCAGCTCAGCCTAAAGGTGCCAAGTAAAATCTAAGTTCTGACTCAAGGGTATTAACAACCATGGATACAATTACCCAATGTTTTGTGTGGGGAATTCAGCTCCACCTCTTCTGGCTCTTTTTAACTTAAGGATTGCCATGAACAGAAGTCGGTATTTGGAGGACGCTGTTGTCACAAAGCCTATGGGAATTGCTGTGCCCAGCAGCACTGCCACCCCCACATAGTTGAAAAGCCTCCTCAGTGCCAAGTTGTACAGTAGATGTTTCTACTTTAAACACAATTCCTGCCTGCTTTGGAACCACAGCTCTCCTGTATGAAAGGTATCCTTCTCACCAGCCTTCACACTTTCCTCATGAATGCATCCCTGTCCAGTTTCCAGCCCCAGGGTCCTTATTTAGAGGAGAAGCAGACACTGGAGTCCTCACACCTCTTCCTGGCCCTGCAGAGACTGCTGATCATTCCTGCAAGCAGGAGCAGTGCCCATCACCCCCACCCAGCCATTCTCTCTCCCTGGCTTGTGGTGCTTGGCGTTTGTGGGACCCATGAGCAGCAGAGCCTCCAACCACAGCCCCCTGCAGGCCCTGGAGCAGAAACAGCCCAGACAGAGGCTGGAAGTGTCAGCACAGTTGTGGTGTGGCATGGCCAAGGAAAGCACAGGAGCAGCAGGCACCTTCAGCCACGCCAGCCCTGCAGCAGCAAACCCAGGTCTGTGCCCCAGCCCCACGCATGGGGTGTGCGGGGAAGCAGCAGCTGGACAGCCTGGGGAGAGGTGAGCAGGGGACAGCAGGGCATGCTCACACCCCAGGCAGCTCCACGAGAAGAGGAGAAAGGATTCTGTAACTTCAGCAGAGTGTGAACATCTGAGGGTGTTTTACAGTGTTGTCTCACATTGTTTCATTCGTGCAAATTTCAGTACTGACTCTCACAAAGTGTGGCGCTCATGGATACTTCATACACAAATTAGCCCCAAAAAATTACTGCAGAGAGTTTTGTTCAGTCCTTTGACCTGCTAGCATAACAAAAAATTCATCCGAACCTTTTGCTCATTCATAGATGAATTAATAAGAAAACCACAGAAGATGAAATTTTAAATACACTTTTAAGTATTTGCCATCTTACTTCCACGTGGAACTTTTAAAAAGTTCTAAGTGCTAGTATCGTAGATTAAGAAATACTTACTCCTTTTAGAATTAAAGAAGAGCAAAAAGAGAACGTAAAACTGTTTTCTTAATGACCAAAAATTTACTGAATCAAGAATTTGGATATTATCATCCAAAGGTATAAGCCTGATACTTCACACCTGACTTCTACCCATAAACAGAAGTCTGCTACAGGACTGGTATATGGATGTTAATGAAAAGTCATTTTACACAACTCTTCAAACAACAATATTTAATCATTTTCACAACAAAATCACTTTGTACCTCACCAGTGTTTTCTGATTTTCTTTAAATATAAAACCAAACACTTTTAAAAGCAGCAGTATATAGCTACACATTTAATGCATATTTGATATTATTTAGAAAGGGAGAATTGTTGTCTTATGTGAAATACTTTGCATTATTATAATTAAATGCAGCAAGAAGAGCTTGTATTTCTAGTGTCCCCTTCCAGAAAAATCAACTTGCAAAGCAGAGCATTTTCACAAGAACTTATTTAACCATCTTCTACAAAGCATGGTTTGTTAGACTTCTTAGATTTATAAAATGAGAAGTTATCATCTCAACAAGAGAAAAAAAGAAGAATGTAAATTTTTTTCTTTTGGAATCTGGTTCCAAATTAAGACTTTTGTTTTGAAAAGATGGAACACTTCTGAGATGTTTGATGTATTTCTGAGGCACAGCTCAGGAATCAATACTTTATTTACCACAGTTACAGTAGTCTATCTCTTTGCAGGGAATTAGGAATCCAGAGAAGTTAATTTCTGGATGAATATGGCAAATGTATAACTACAAACCCAAACAGAATTCTTATTCCTTATCCCTTCATTTCCTTCTGTTCTCCTAACTCTGCTACTAACTTTACAAAAATCATGGAAGTAATGTAGAAATCCTTATTGCTGGAAAGCTATGGCAGGAGTCTCATTCTTTGTACAAAAATATTTTAATGTAGATATTTAGAAATGTTACATAAGAGCATTTCAGTGATAAAATATTTTATTAGTGTTTCTGTTTGAGTACACTGAGCAGTGTATTGCGACTTTTAAAAAAAATTCTCAAGTTTCACCACCCAATCTCTAGATCTCAGACACCACTGTTACAATAGAAGCAGATGCTCTGGAAACAAGTATCTTCCCAGCAGTAAGGTTCTGTACTGCCAGCTGAGACCCATAAAGACAGATTTGGGTATGGTGGAGTGTATATTTTATATATTTGTGCATATCAAAAAGATTATGGGAATTCTGCCAACCATATGTGAATGTGACCAGCCAACTGCATACTACATCTCACCCAGCTCCTGGCAGGCAGGGTGGTTCATGTTGGAATAGGGTGTGCTGCTGGAGCCAGCTCTAGCATTTGATGGCATGACAAGTAGATCCTTAGTATGTGGAGTTTTGTTACTTGGAAATATCACCAACATCACTTGCCCACTCACTCCATGCTATGCAAAAATATCTGTTACTTAAACACTTTATAAACTTAACAGATATTGCTGACAAGATACTGTGTGGTTAGTTAAGAACACATGAAACCACAACCAGAAAAATGTGAAATTTTGAAAGAAAGAAAGCAAACAGAAAAACTGAAGTAAGCATCAGGTTCAACAAAATGCTGAGAAGACAGTCCTGCTGCAAAAGTAGGATTATGAAGTGTATCAGTCTGTAAATGTACAATATTATATAGCAAACAATACCACATCAACAGCAAATGAAACACTGTCACACGACAGAGAACCTTGTACATGAAATAATACAACTTTTTATTCATGTTTTATAGATTACTTTTATTTAATTTTGCTTTAATAATGCATATTCTGTTCACTCTGTGCAAAATTGGGGACAGAGGTGGGTGTTTAAATCATCTAATGAAAATCAAGCGGAGATGAACATTCAGGTTGAGGGAGAGGCCTATCCAAACCAGGAAAGCTAAAAAGCCACAGCTGCTCAAGACAAAGCTGCTCTCAGCTGTGCCCTTTTGTCCTGGCACCTGGCACAAACATGCTCTCCTGAGCGAGCAGCTGAGCCCTGGGAAGGTGACCTCCTCCAGACACCGGGGACAGGAGTCATCGTGGTAGCTACATAGGGAGACCTGGCCTCAACCGGCTCCAGTCAGTGTGTGGCAAAGAAAGGCACAAATCATTGCAAAGACCAGACTTCTGTTGGTTTGTTTCCTTCTTGTAGATACATTACTGTACACAATGTAAGCTGAAGTTGTAGGGGATTCGGGGACATAAAATTGCATATTTAACAGAACTTAAAACCATAACGAAAAGTAGGCTGTTCAATCTCGAAGCAAAAATAATCCCTCCAGCCCCAACATTAACATTCATTCCTGGCTATATGAAGTACAAACATTTTAAAATCTGTGACAAAAGACAATTAAAAACCAAAAGTCAAAATCATAAAGCTTGTAAACAGATAATCTGAAATACACTTTATTTATGGAAAAATATCATCAAAATAGTACCACTATGGACTAAACTGCCTGAGTTTTCATTTCACTTAGGATCTTGAAGTAGAGAGCCTTTAGCACAAGATCAATTTCAGTCACAACTAGTGCTGCACAGCACAGCTTTGGGTAGAAATTTTGTTCTTGTTGGTATTTTTGTTGTGCTATCAAAAACTGTTGTGCTAATCCTTCAAATAAAGGGATGTTGAGGCAATTCTTAAATCATTTGGCACAAAGTTATTTTGGCTGGGGCATAAATTTGAGTCTCAGTCATGAAGAATAATGCAACATTCCACCTATCAAGTATTCACTTTGATTGAAGAGCTTTCTTTATGTCATTAACTTCCATCTAAAAACAAACAGAAGAAAAAGTATTTGATTAAATTAGATGCTTTAGCAAACTCAGGCACAGTTGGTGCCACTTGAAAAACACATTCCCTCTTGTCCATAGGTGTCAGCTACAGGTTTTATACCACTCTTATTTCCACAATTGAATTTCCACAAATTTCGCAAACTGAAGTGCTTGTCAACTGTGTAAGATACCATTCACAGCTTCCTTCCTCAGACCATGACAAGCATAGTAATTGAATGTACTGCAAGTCCTTTCAATCTCTTTAAAATACAACTTTTACATGCCACACAGCTCACTGCCTGGCATTACTGCAGAATAAGCACTATGTCCATGCACCAGCAGCTGCACTTACAGCCAGCACAATAAACTGCACAGCTGGCAATGAGCATAGGTAGCTGAGGGACAAAAACCATTGTCTTTCTCCTACAGGGAGGGTTCTTGCTTTAGAAATGGTGGTTGCCTTCTGCAAGCATCAAGCCTGCGCCCAGGCACCTTAAAGGCTCTGAAGGTGCCACGCTTAAGAGAATGTGGCTGAAACCATCAGTAGCCCAAGCTGTACATTTGGTCCCTCTGACAGACACTGAAAACCCTAAGGCAGAGGTTCTAGATTTATTCAAACCCACATATTCCAACCTGTGTTGGACTGCACCATCATCAAGGCAGTCTCCTTGAATCCATGGACTCAGACCTGTGCTACTTCCTGCCTGTCAGAGCACTCTGAAACTAATACTACTTTTCTTTGTTAATTTTCATCTTCATGTAAAGCTAACAATGCCATCTAGGCTAGCATATGAACCTCTACCAGTATAAGCAACATTTGAACTGGAGTAAAAGCATTCAGCTTTAAGATCATAACTTAAAACCCATCAGTGCAGGTCTCTGCATAAAGATGTAAAGTTATCTCTGGATAACTCTGAATAATGTGACCTGTTAGATTAAATCAAAATAGCTATTAAAAATGTTCACTGGGTTTTATCTGAATAAATTTCAGTTTTAGCTGTACAAGAATTGTGCATTATTAGAAGCCATGTTGCTACAGGGTTGAACGCATAATGTCCCGGAGCACAGAGGCAGCCCTGGAGCTTAGACATTGAGGATCTGCAGTTCTGCCACCCTTTGCCCAAGTGTTTTACAGAGGTAACAGTCCAGTGAAATTACAATTCATTTTCTATCCCTAGTTCAAAGTACAGTTGTCCTATACCATAAAAAAATGTAAAATTCAATCAATACCAAACCACTTACCCAAGTACATGAAATAGAAGAGTATAGCACAGCACAGATTAGAATATAATAATTTTGTTTGGAAAGGGCCTATAATGACCCATTAGTCCATCTGCCTGCCCAAATTTAAGCATGCTGTTAAGGGCATTGTTTAAATCACTCTCCAAAACCCCCAAAAAGCAGTTTCAACATCATTCCACATCAAACCAGCGTTGTTAATGATTCCAGCAAAGGCCAAGCTCCATGAATCCCACAAGCAGGGAGGCAGGATACCTGACAAATGGCTAAGGCAGCACAAAAACATCTAGAGCTAAGGTACAATAATAACTGTAACCCAGCAGTAACTGGGTTCTTAATCAGAGCCCCTTCTTTTATATTGCTCAGGATGCTTTAGTAAAGACAACCTAAGTCAGTCTGTAAAGCAGACATTAAAATCTTACTATATGAAATAATATTTCAAGCATATTAACACTGAGACAAGCCTACTACAAAATATAAAGCTTTGGCAGAAAGCTTTAAGTACCTTAAAAAGCTTTTAAGTAACTTAAAAAGGCAATATTTAATTTGTGACAAAATCAAACAAAACTTAGATGAAAAAAATAATAATTTGAATCTTGTATTGTGTTCAATTTTTAAAAAATTGTCTACTTGTGCTGATAAATTTTTGAATAATTATCAGGCTTTTCAATAAAAACCCAATATTGCAATATATATGACACAAACCTGCAATGCTATGAACAGAATAGGTATATCCCTTTCAGAAATATTGGTAGTTTTTGATTCATTGGCATCTAAGTATCTTAGCAGAGTTTTATGTCCCATGTCAGGCTAAATCGAACCTGCCTACACATCCCCAACATTAAAAATAATTTAAGTACCTGCAATCGTAGACGGATCTTCTTCTCTTCATCCAATTCAGAGAGCAACTGTTTAATCTCTTTTCTGTTAAAAGAATAAAAAAGAAGCTTGGGATGGAAATGACCACACTACTAAAATACAAAATATTATTTCTTGGAGACATATTTACCCCACTTCACTATTTTTTTTCCTCTGCACATCTAATTGAAGTCTGCATACTCTCGTATACTCTAGGCTATAGTAGACAAGAAGTAAAACTCACTATGGGACAGTACCCCGCCCCATCCCACATGGCGAATGACTAATACTTCCTCACAGCCCTGCATCCACAGGCTCTGCTCTGGCCTAGCTGTATCAACACCATATCAGCACCCAGTTGCCTTTTTCCACATAAAATGTAGATGTATTGACTGTTGGTGGGTTATAGGAACTGGTAACACAAATCCTGCCCATCCTATCACATACTTAAGCCACTTAAAAGCTGTTTATGCCAGCAATACAATGTAACCTTCAGCTTCATTTATAAGACTTAACGATCCCAAATACGGATTTTCTGTCATTCTTTTTTTTTGGGAAAGGGAACATAGCTATGAGGAGCAGACACGTTCTCATGTTCCCACTGAGTGATCTCACCTTAGGACAGATACCAGTAGGTGGAAGCTGCCCTTGCAAGAAGGGCCGGGGAGACCAGAGGAGCAGGGTCAGCCTAAGAGGCGAGGCCGTGGGGCTTGCTGGCTACATCCAGCTTGAACCATGCCCTCCCGCATCTTCTCCCAAACTCCGCACACCTCTGTTCCGCCACAGGCTCTGCACGCTGCTTGCCCTTTTCTTTTTCCTGCCTGGGCTACACACAACTGACAATGTAAGTGAAGGTTTAGCTTCCAAAGCATTAAATATTCTCAGGAACATCAAAAGTTACATGCCAGCCCCAGTTTCTCCTAAAAAATGAGCAATTTAAAGAAAACAAAGGTGCCCAAAACTAAAATAGTAAGATTTAGGGCCATAAACACAAAGGCCTTCAGATGACCTAGTCACAATTCAATTACTACTTTTGTAACATGAGCTTCCTGGGAAAATGTGCTAACAGTCAAACAAGAAAGTAATTTAATAACTTTAGGAGGTTGTAGCAATTTGTACTACAACTATAACAAATGCACCCCTTTTATTATGATCAATGCACATGAGTTCCCAGATAGTTACTGACAAATGAAACAACATTCACTGCTCATAGCTTGCAACTTAACTTTTCTAACACCCCATAAACATCTACTTGTGTCATAACACAGGGAAAAAAAACTGGTGGATAGTGCAGGTCTTTTTTTGCAGAGGTTCTCACCCCTGAATATGTTCTGTCACATGAAAATCACTCACAAACACATAGGCCAGATGTGCAGAGTAACATCTATGAAGGCAAACTCAATCAGAAACTGCCATCACTATGCACAAATGGATCCATCCCACCTACAACTGTGATTTGCAGTACTTACTTTTGCTGGTCTTTCATGGTTTCAATGATGGTTCTTAGCTCCCTAATTTGTGTTCTGAGCTCTTCCAGGGCAGTCTGACCTTGGCTCAAGTGCTCAGTCTTTGGCTTTCCTTCAGTACCAAACAGGGAAGGGGAATTTGACCTGTGGCCTGTTGTTCCCATAGCAATTGAGTGAAATCCAGGTGATGGTGAAGGGGATAGTGATGGTTGTATATTACTGCCACTAGCCAGACCTCCTGGTTTTGGAGGTAAGGAAGTTTTGTTATCAGACACCTGCAACAAAAAGAATAACATTTAATGTCTGCAGAAAGCTTTATGAAAATCAAACCTCTAACCAATGCTAAGTATTTAACCACTCTTCAGTAATGCTGAAATTCCAACAGTCAAACAAAACAGTCTTGGCAAAAGCATGATAAATATAGTGATTAGTCATCATCTTTGTATGTGTACGTCAGACGGGGTCTAGCTGTGATGCAAAAGGTCAGCAACAGTATTTCCAAGATCTCAGACCTAGTAGTGAATTAAACCAGGGACAGATGCTCAGTCTTTCTCAGATGTTTCTGAGAACATATATACATCCATGGATGTCTCCAACAGAGCACAAACTACATGGCCAAGAATCCAAGTTGTATTTTTTTGTAAATTAAATTTATAATTTCCCATCAACTATTGAATGAATCTTCCAAGTTATTTCAAAAATTACAAAATGTATTACATGCTCCCCGTAGCATTATGAAAATAGAAAAATATTCATTAGGTTCACTTGTTGGTATGATATATATAGAGAAAAAAATCCCATGATTTCAAAGTCATATTAATAATAAATAAATGTAGTCTACTGTCCTCTGTTAATCAAGGCTTCCATGAATGCCCATAACTACCAATAGCTCTTTATTCCTCCAGGAACTTGACAGAAAAACACACCATTAACCTATAACCCTGCAATCATGTGGTTAGCTAAAAACGATTCCATTCTTAACTGCGATCCAGCGCTCTGCTTAGTAGACAATGTGCACACGTATGTGCTACATAATGTAATATATGTATATAACATAATATAATGTAATATAACATTCTATACTTAGTTAGAAAATCTGAAGTTTACCACTCATACATAACCAACTGCTTCATTGCATACAGAGGACAGTGTACAAGTACAGTTCCACAATGGCAAGTAAGGGGAATGAATCTTTGCACTGTTATTTGGCAGGGCTATGTGTGCATTACATGACAGCTACCAGGCATGTTTGAAAATCTGATTTGGACAAGAGTAAGAAAAAGCACTAGGCAACCTTCCAACTCTCTTTGGAAAAGTGATAATTGAAGTTGAGTTGCAAATAGGGCAAAATACTGAGAATAAATGGTATGAAAATGGAAGGAGACACTGTAGGAGAGGAGACTGGCAGGGTGGCATTAGCTGAACAAAGCAACTGAGAGAAAAGTTTGTGATGAGATGAAAATCAGGAAAAATTATGATGGGGAGAGAAGAGCAGGATCCACCAAGTCCTGCAAAAACCAGTCTTCCCTACTATACAACCATGACTGAGCACAGAACCTGATCTGGGAAAACACTGAATTCAGGATGTGTCCTGCACAAAAAACAAGTCTGACCATAAATATAAATAAAAATGGCATGATAATCACAAGAAAGCTGAATCACTGTAGTGCCTTGAAAACTTGACACAAGGACCCGAATAATATACTTTTAACATTTTATCAATTAGTTTGTGTATCTGGGTTGAAAAGGACCTTAAAAGTCACCTAGCTCCAATCTCCCTGCCATGGGAAGGGGCACCTTTCATTAAATCAGGTTGGTCCATGCCCCATCCATCCTGGTCTTAAACATTTCAGGGATGTGGCATACATAACTTCTCTGTTCTGACACCCATTCCAGTGCCTTGCCACCCTCACAGTAAATAATTTTTTTTCCTAATATTTAATCTAAACTTACTCTCTTTCAGTTTGAAACCAGTCCATCATCCTCTCCTATCACTCCATGCTCTTGTAAATAGTCTCTCCTCCATCTTTCTTGTCAGCTCAGTTCAGGTACTGGAAGGCCACAGGTAAGTCACCTCAAAACCTTCATTTTTCCAAGCCAAACAAACCAAATTCTCTCAGCCTTTCCTCACAGGAGAGGTGCTCCATCCCTCTGATCATCTCAGTGGCCTCCTCTGGACTTGCTCCAGCAGGTTCATGTCCTTCCTGTGCTGAGACCCCAGAGCTGGCTGTAGCACTCCAGGTGGAGTCTCACCAGCACAGAGTGGGGTGTGAGTAATGTGCACCTATAAACAGATGTTTCATGGATAATAACCCCACGTATCAGTAGGTGCAAGTTTCCTTCAGACTGAGAAGAGATTCCAGGCTGAGTTCAAATCAGGATCAGGACAGCAAGGCACAACTGGAGTCACTGATCTGAGCATCTTATTCCAGAGCTTAAGTGGCTATCAGCATTAAAGCCTCAAGCAACTGTTTTCTAATAGCAGCCATCTCATTTTACAGAAACAACATCTACAGTTTGGTCATATAACTTAGAAGTGTTGGCCCAGCAGTATTCCTTGGTGCAAGTGCTCCCAGAAGAGGGAGCTACATAGCAAAACATTACCCTTATAATTTGATCACAGAAGTGCATGACTTCATCTTTCAAATACTTGTTAAACTATTAGAATGCAGTATTTTTATTATTAAGGGTATCCTTATGTAGTAAAAATAGTTTCAGCCTTTAAAGCCTGATCTGCATATTCCTTCTGCAATATTTGATTCTGCTATAGTAGTCTACCAATATACAGTATTATAGGCACAAGCCTATAAAAGGAATACAATTATACCAGTATAAAAAGTGATTATATTTGCAATTTAAATCCACATACTATTACAGTGTGTCAAAAAGTTGTATTTACTCTGCTCACAGACTCTTCTAACATAAACTCAATTTAAAGTTGCAAAAAGATAGGGTCTTTATTTCTAAAATTTATTTCCCAGCCTCTCTGATTCTGTGAAATACATTTACACAAGAAGGATTTTTTTCACAGTATGGCTATTTGACACATTTTAACAGTGCAATTCACTTTAGACTTCCCTTTCAAGCACAGAACAATATTTAGTACCCTTTATCATTTTAAGCTTCTTTAAGTGGGCAGTTGCCAGGTGACTGTTGAATTAAATTTTAAATATTTCAGTACTGCTTTTAGAAAAGAAGATGCATGTGATAAGGTTAAGCAGAGGCATTCCAATTAACTTACTTGTGATATTGTAACAGTTCTTGATTTCCTTGACACTTCAAGAGTTTTGTGAGTAATGGAAACATGTTCTTCCTTCTCATCTTCAGGACTTGGTGAGTCAAAGAAATCAGGACTTGAAAGGGATGACTGTGTAGACAAACACGCACCACAACAAAAAGAAGAAAAAGAAAAGCACAGGTATTTTCATTGTACAAGAACTTCTTCAGCTATCATTTTCAAAGTAACAATACTTAAAATCAGGACCCTTTGTCCCCCTACTCCCCCTTTTTTGCATCTTATTTTCAAAGCTAGACTGCTTTCAAAGCATTCAAGAAATAAGATATGCTTAAGAGTTGAATCCAACATTAATTTACAGCTTTGTACTGCATGATATCACAAGATGAAAGCAGCCTCCTGTCCCAGCAGGTTGCTGAGTGCTGTGCCGCGGGGATGGCAGCTCTGCCACCCCAGCTCTGTCACCGGGGTGGCTCTGCTGTGGCTCTGCTCAGAGCAGGTCTCACCTTGCTGCTCTCCAGAGGCCCCAGCCAGCGCCAGGGCACGGTGCTGGCACTGCAGGGATGCCTTGTGCATGGCCTCTTGGTACAGGTGTGAAAAGGGAGGGTTCTTTCCATCCCCTGATCCTTTCCTCATACGTGTGACAGGAGAAGGAAAATCTCTATACTGGTCTTTTGTATTTCTATACTTATCACAGCAGTCAGTTTTGAAAGCATTCTCCTTTTTTTGAATTCTATTAGTTTCTCAATAATCCTTTTTGCCTCCTTCCACTTCATTTCTCTTCAGCAACACGGACCAAGGTAACCATCAGTAGTTGCTCTCATTCTGGTATTCCAAAATGCAAAAAGCATGGAACAAACAAACCCCAAACCCCAAAGAAGAAGACATTGAAAAACTAAGCAGTGGTTTCCAAAGTATTGTTTATGAGACCAACTTGTCTAAAGACAGATATTAGAGAGTGAAATTTAAATCGCCCTTTTATTTACAACTGTGACCTTAATGAGAAGAAACACATGATAGCTCAAGGAGGGCTGTTGAAGACTGAATGGTTTATTTGTCCTCAAAATCTGGTAAATGTCTGCAAGAAACCAAGAGAAATGCTTCTTTTGGGAAACACTTTCAAAATCCTAAATACTTCGCACAAATTAGCCTATTCCAAAGATTTTTTTATACAGGATTTTTCTGGGCTCAGTCATGGCTGGCAAATAACACTTGGCAGCACCCAAATAAGGGGGTATAAACCTTAGAAGGAAGGGAATGTTTTAAACATCAGTATTCAAAACACTGGCAGCCTTTTGACAGTAATTTTCCTGATCTGCATCTCTCTGCCTCATTGTACGTGTGAAGGAATGGCTGGGTAAAAACCAAGGAACACAAGTAGGAGGGGGTGAAATTCAGAAAAAATATTTTTAAAAATAGTTTTTAAAGAAAAGGAAAATTAACTTACAGATGTGAGAGACTGGGAGGGTGGTCGCCTGCCAGTAGCTTTTGGTCTGGTTGTAGTTGGATGATTAAGCTTCTCAGCAATTGGTATTACAGAATCAAAACCTTCCAAGTCTTAAAAATAAAATAGAATCGATTTGGTTTTCTGGCAATTGTCTTCAAAGGGAAAGAATCACATTTTTTTCTAATTTCAAAGAAATGAAATCCCATTTTCCCCACTGTGTCACAGTGTTCTGCACGTATTTAGCCATTATGATGGCACTAAAAAAACCTGGAAGTCAAAGGCAGCTGTAATCCAGTCACCCTTGCCAAGAACAATTACCCTTCCATTTCAAACGCAATAAAGCAGAGGGGGAACGTGTAGAGGAGCCTTTGGCTTTGTTTTCAGCGTAGTGAAAGCTAAACAACATCATGGGTTCTATGGCATGGAATAAACAGTTTCAAAATTTCCATCTGGCTACTGAAGGGGTTAGTAATTTTCTTTTTCGTGAATAACTGGAGATATAAGACTGTGCACACATTGTCTCAGGAACTGTACTGTCAGCTTTGCATTGCAGTAATTGCTCAGGAGAGTGCAGAATGAGAATGATCAAGCTGGAAGTGATCTGCAGGTTCCCAGACACCTGCAGCTGGAGGCACCATGGTTTCCAGGTGAGAGGACTATCTCCCTCCAGTAGTCCAGAGGCTATGGTAAGTAAAAGCTGCAGTAGGCTCCTGAAGCTGTACAGAGTCCAGGGAAAGCAGGTCTGCTTGAATGCTGTATCATCTCCATGGCCAGTGAAAAGCTCTGGGGAAGTGTTTACTGAATCCAGCCACGGGGTAACATGTTTATGTGAAAGAACGATGTGGAGGCTCAAGGAATACCACAGCTCATGATTACATGGATAAATCAAATGGCTTAATACCATTCATCTATTTTTATGGGTTGTATCAGTTTCACTCACCTTCATTTCAAAATGCCCTACAGCATATGTTGAGCAGGAAGGAGTCAGAAAACACACAAGAGGTACTTTAGACAAGATAAATCAAAATTCTTCAAAATTACTTTCAAATATGAATCAAATACAGGAATGATATTCATTATTCAGAGACTACTTTTCATTACACACATGTAGGAAAAAGTAGCTTTTAAGTTAATAGTTCTATATACTAGGCACTTAATTTTCCAAACTATTACAGAACAATTAATCTCTGAAGATCCAGTTTTGTTGTCATATTACAACCAACAATTGTACAAAATTACACAATGGAAAACCAAATTAATTAATGGGCCTGTGCAATAAACTATATGCTCTGAAGGACATTTGAATTGATTCCAAGTACTCATGATTTGCCATCTAGAAAGTAAATGGGATAGGAGATTCCTTATTCAGCAATATCCTTCCATCTCCAGGAGATGATTTAAAAAAAAAAAAAAAAAAGCGCTCTTTCAATAGCACTGAAATAGTCTAAGGTTATCCACCTCTAAATACTACTCTATTTTTGGAGTGACTCTTCCTATATATAACCAGTGACCCCACTGTCCTCTACCATGTATTTTTGTCATTGCTCTTTTTATTGACTGATGCAGCCTGTATGCAAAGGTAGGTCACCCACCCAGTCTGTCAGTGGGATTCTGGGAATCTGAAGCCTCAATTGTACCCAACATGTCAGGTGAGGCCACAGTGCTTTGAAAGTTGAAATGAGCTAATTTTAGCAGATTGCACAAAACCTATCTGGAGTCCTACAGAACCTCAGGGTATCAGGAAAGCAGAAACAGAAGGAAAAAATTTATTTTCTGGGAAAAGAAAAAGCAAGTGTAAGAGCTGGTTTCTATTAATACCACTTTGAAGCTGACCCATAAGATAGCCAAATGGCTTGAGATCACAAAGCAGATTAGTAATCAATATGTAAACATACTGTCTGATTTTAATTTTCACTACTGAGTTACTTTGCTAAATTGACAGGAAAAATGTAATACCACCAAAAATATACACTCCCATCTAAAAGGGTGATACTCACACACATGAGCAGAAATGGAGGCTGAAGCAATCCTTCCATTTGCCACAGCCACCCTCTCCACTTTACTGTTTTTACTATTCTTTTTCCTGAGCAAGATTTAATCCAGCTCATTTTTCAATGGCGTGTGCCAAGCCGTGCAAATACTTGCACTGAAGGAAGGATCAGTTACCAGTACCACAGGACTGATTCAAGCTGCCAAAACAGAGGGGAAGAGCAGACTTCTGCTTTGGGGGGGAAGGAAACTGGCTGAAGTTATTTTGCAGGCTAGGAAAGCTCCAGTGTGACATTTCCCTCTCTCTAGTTTCCAATTCTACACAGGAGTATGAAAGGAGATTGAGTGAGGTGGGAATCAGTTTCTTATCCCAGGTAACAAACGACAGGAGAGGAGGAAACAGCCTCAAGTCGAGTTACGGGAGGTTTAGATTGGATACTAGGAAAAACTTCTTCATTGAAAGTGTGGTCAAGCATTGGAACAGGTTGCTGTGGGAAGTGGTAGAGTCACTGCTCCTCAAGGCATTCCAAAATGTGTAAATGTGGTGCTTAGAGAGATGGTTTAGTAGTGGACTTGGCACTGCTGGGTTAATAGTTGGACTCAATGATCTTAGAGGTCTTTTCCAGCTTCAAAGATTCTATGATTCTGTAAGTGCCCACTGTCCCCTTCTCTGCTCTTACAAAAGGTATCCACACTCATATGGAAAACAATCAATGAAAAAATAGTTTCATGAAAAAAATTAATTCAATGTGTTTCTTTGGTTTAAATAAACTAGTAAATACCTAGAGTTCTGTATTTGATCAGAACAATAAAATACTCAGGTTTAAATTGTAAAATGTATTGATAAACAGAAAGTGTATGAATTTGCATCCTTGAGATCCATAAGCATTTGCAGACATAATTTGCTCCCTGCATCTTATAAATACCATGAAAGAAGAACATTTATGTGCAAAGCTTCTATTATCAAGAAATATTGGGAATCCTATACTTTTTCCACTTCTGAAGGCATTTTTGATAGCTAGAAAAATAAACTAAAGCAGCCTAAAGCTGCACTGAATTTTAAAGAGAGTAGAACAGAGGCTATAAAGGCTCCACAGGTAGTATCTGCTGCCAAACTAGAAATCACAGCCATTCAGTTGATACTATAAATGAAATTCTATTAAAGTGCAACGGACAACACTTGATACAACGATAAAACAGTAAATCTACTTCCAGCACTCTTATATGCCCTTTTTCTCTCCATTTGTCCTCCTTGTTCAGATGTTGTTCTTCCTTCCAAATCTTCTCTGCATCTAAGGCTATCACTACCTTCCATCTTCCAAATCCGTGGAGATACTAATTCAAGAAAATTCCCATCCAGTGATCTGGTAACTAGCAGAATGAGCAACAGAGCCACTCACAAAGCTTCTGCCATGCTGTCATATATGCTGTGGATTCAGTAATTCACTCATGATGATTCTTTGATAATTTTTTGCTGGTGGAAAGCAAGGTTATACGATTCTGACTACATTAAACTCACAGAGGTCATTAAATGCAGAGATTTGATTTTAGTTTGTATTTCTGCAGCTATCAGAAATTGGAAGCTTAAATTTCCATACTAAGCAAAATGTACAGCCTTCCTGACAGGGCCCAAATGGAATGTCATTAAAAAAAAGGTCCAGTCTACTATATTCACAGTCACATTAATTGCCAGTGCAGCAACATCAGCATCCAGCAGACCTGGATTCTGCACTGGTCCAGCTTTTTCTTTGTCTGGTAATAACAAACAGTAAGGAAGATTCTATTAAACATGTAGAACATAGAGATGACACCCATCAATCAGCTCCCTAATTAAAAATAGTTGATATTTGTTCTACAAATAAACTGCTGCATTCATCATTATTACTGTCTTGCTGATCAAGATGGTAATCCATGAAGTAATTGATGAGATTGGGAGGAAAGGCACCAGCTAATTTTAACATATCAGTATAGTACATACAGTCTGGCTCATTGAGCAATCATATTTCATGAATATGAAAAAATGTTAGCTGTGCAAGAATTATCCCTGCTATCCATCCAAGCCATTTAAGAATAGAATATTTCTCCCCATTGCTATGCTCATTTGGAAATATGGTTATTTAAAGGATGATGATGATATTTTTAAAAACATGCCCAGAGCCAGGGAAACAATTATTTAGAGAAAAAGTTCAAAACTTAGACTTGTACCTTCCTAGAAAATGACCTTGAGTCCCTGCCTCCCAAAAGACCCCAGAAATAAAAAGTGGTTATGCTTCCTTCCTTACTCCTTTTATCCCCTGCATTTACTATTCTGGCATAAAATGTGGCTAGGCTCTATCTTCCATTTAGGTTTTTTAGTATTTGGGCCAAGTCATTTATACATAATGATGACAGAAAGTTTTTTGAATTAGTAGAGAGATTTCACCTTGAAAACACTGAAATGAAATGTGATATATAAGAGAATCATCACTTTCAAAATGCTAATGGTGAAGTTTCACAGAACAGAAATACAGCAGGCCTGAAGGAAGTGAGGTGAATTTGGCTTTCAGTTAATTTGAAGATTATGTCACAAAAGCCAGAGGTGAATTTAATTTCATAATCATCTTCGATATATTTAATAGGATGACAAAAGGCATATAAAATATTATATATACTGTCTTAAAATGCAATAATTCTTAAAGCTGTCAAATGAGACACACACTGCAGACAAAATCTTCTGCATTAGTGCCCATACAATATATAGTAGAAATTAAAAAAAGAACTCAATAATCTGAATATTAGAGGGAATTTTCAGAAGACTACAATTATTTTAACTACTTCAAGCATCCAGATTCTGCTAGTCCCTCCATGCTGAACAGCATTGTACCCTTTGAGGAATACAGCCATACTCCCAGCCAGGGTCCAGGCAGCAAATCTCACCCATAATGAATCACAGACAGCTTTTTAAGATTTGGGTAATGCAGTTTTAGGAGGAGAGCTCCCTGGCTGCAAGTTTCCTGTGTTCAGGAGTGCAATAGTGATGTGCCAGGGAGGTCTGCCCACAGGGTTCTGTGCTTTGGAGTGAAACAGAACAGCTCACCTGGCTTCCCAGGACAGTGACTGGACAGCTGTGATTTGAGGACAA